CTTTTTTTTTCTCTCTCCTCCCTCCCCAGTAGGGTCGCGGGGGGTTGTTCGGAGCGGTGCCTTTGCAGGCTCCGGGGGCGCCGACCCCGCGGTCAGCGAGGCGAAGGCGCTGACAGCCGCGCTGGGGGCTCCGGGCTCTTCCTGGGGCGAGGACCGTTAGGCCCAGGCTGCGGTCGGGTCCTGTCGATAGCGCTGGTTTCCCATGAGCAGCCTCCCGCTGATCCTGCCTCACCACTTTCTAGTCGTTCCTAGCAAAGCTTCAACTTTTTCCCTTCCTTTTATGATATGATGCTATATTCCTTCACAGTGTCTCATTTGACTTGGCCCTACCATTTTTCCACTTAATGGTCTTGGCAATAAACACCTCTTTTTTTTCAGAAAGGATTCAGTGTAGTGTGGTCTTTTGTGTGCACTTAAGAGTATTTCACAATTGCAAAAGCCGTGGTAAAGCAAGGTAACCCCTCAGGGCTAGGCTGCCTTGTACATTTGCCTACTATATAATAGTAGGACTGTTTGCATATGAGACGCACGAAATGTTTTACACACTTGGTGAATCAGTCAGCACTAAAACATGGCCATGCCACTGTCGATCACCTAATTTGTATTGGTCAGTGGTAAAATTCTTTAACATAGGCATTCTGTCTGTGCAAAAGAGAACGTCAGAGTTTTCCTTACTCTTTCCTTCTCTGTACAACTTCCTTAAAACTCCTTTAGTGACTTCAAAGCATTTAAACATACACAAAATTAGTGTTGTGAAAGTCTGCAGACACCATATATATATCATTTTATGAGGAGGCTGATTTAGGTCTCTGCTGGTGGGCAACAGCCTCCAGCTGACACGGAGAGGGCTGCTCAGACCGGGATGGAGCTGTAAGCTGCTGTACCCTGCCCAAACCGAGGGTGACAGCAGCTAGAAAGGTTCCCTCACCTCAGAGCTCGGTTCTACCCGACAAGTTTTCCTGTCCAAGTACAAAGCAGACCCAATGCAGATGAATAAGTAAAGCGCGTTATGCACAGGATGAACTAAAAGATTTGAAAATGTCTGGGAAGTTTTCTATGAGATCATGAAGTACACCTGTATGGAACATCCTGCAGGATTAAATAACAGTGAACATATATTTGTTGTTATTGCTGCTGACAGAGCAAGTATTTGCCTTTGGAGGGAAGGGGAGCAGTTAGCATAATGTTTGTAGAAACATAACTATCCAGATGCCAGTTGGAAGAGGAGGGGATGGACCTGGCTCAACTGAGTTTTCCTGTGAATATGAAGGAATGCATTTGGTCAGCCTGGTTATTGGTCTTAAGACTGGGGCATTCCTTCATTCTTCACATGCAGAAGTACTCGTTTCTCCTATGACTAAACACTTTAGCCTATTTGAAATACACCTTTACTTTCCTACCCCCAAAGCCACAGTTTTATTATCTAAAAGAAACAAGCAGTTTTGTACCTTACCTAAAGCTTCACTTACTATTAAAATTTTGAAAAAAAAATATAAATCCGCTACTTTCACCTTCTTTTTCTTCGCTTACAGATCATGTGCATTGTTCTGGGCATAATGTGTCTGTGTTTTTGTTGACTTCTGATGCTTTTTTTTATAGACATGTATAGAATGCATTACTTCATATTCTCACTTTTTCTGCCCAGAACTCATATTTCTCCTCCTTAAGTTTATGCCACCTGTTGATCTCAGTACCCATATGTTCAGCCACATGCAGGTATCCTATTATGCTCTCTGGCCATTTTTTCTTCCACAAAGTGAGGAATTCTTCTGCCATTAAATGCTTGAGAAAAGTTCATAGCCTCTATGTCCTTTTAGCTACAGCCATAAGGAAATGCTCTGAGATTGTGTGACTGTTGTAGCCCTCATTGAGACTGGCTTAACTTGGTGCAGAGTTTCAGTTTATTATTATTTTTTATTCTAACTTGCTGTGACATCCAGGAGCAGAGGAAACAGGGCCTAACCTGCCCCCTCCCAAGGCTCTAGATTTGATAGACAAGCATGAACACTCGGGCATGCAAGGTCCTTAATAAATGCCATTATAGCTGATCTCAATATATAAATAAATTAATAGCTTCTGGGTAAAAAAGTTTGGCCTCGTCTTTTCTGATATTCCAGTAGTTATAGGGCATGCCAGTACCCCAAATAAATTTATTTCTTCACCCAGGAAGATTCATATATGTGTAAGTAGTATTTCCCAGGAGAGGAGTGCAACCATCAGGAAAGCTTAACTGTTCAATGCTGGGCTTTGGATTCAGCTGAATGGACATCTGGCATCTATATATGAAGTAGCTAGACACACTCAAAATTTAGATAAAAACTATCTAAATTATCTTTCACTGGGTCCTACCCTTTCTCGTCTCTCCCATCCACACAGGTGAAAGTGACTGAAATCAGAAGGGGGTTTTATCTTTAGTAATTGAACAGACAGGTCGATTAAATAGGTAGCCAAAATTTTTCTATCTTCCATTTAAAATATTTATTTTTAAATATTAGCATTTTTTACTACTTATCAATCTTTCCTCCCTTCCGTCTAGCTGTTTATGTTGTTGTATCTATGTCCCTCCCTGTTCCTTTTCAGAATTCTCTATTCCTGGCTCTGCTTTGCTGCTTAAGCCTTCATGAATCACATTGTCTCTCATGAAATAGAGATACTTTCCTTTGTGTAAAATATGATTTATACAGTAGCTTCGGATTAAGAGTTGTTACTGCTATGCTAAGCTCACTGCTATAAGTGTTGCATATAGATGTTAGACAGATCTACTGCTACTTCTGTACATCTACTGATAAGTTTTACATGAAAGTTATTTGCTTTTCAGAGTGTAAAAAATGGATTTGGCCAACCATGGACTTATTCTGCTGCAGCAGCTAAATGCTCAAAGAGAGTTTGGTTTCCTGTGTGACTGCACAGTTGCTATTGGTGATGTCTACTTCAAGGCACACAAATCTGTCCTTGCTTCTTTCTCCAACTACTTTAAGATGTTGTTTGTTCATCAAACCAGGTAACTATAAAAGGGTTAACTGATAAAACATTGCTCAGTTAGCTAAGGTAAGAGAGTCTAGCAACATTTTGAAACCTTCTGAAATGTTCTTTTTGCTTCTTGCGATGACATAAAATGAATCTGCAATCTGTTCCTACCTGCAAACTGGAAGACTAGTAAAAAAGTGCTAAAAGTTGAAATGTGATTCTTTAACAATCGTGTTGTAATTTAGCAAATGTACTTTATCTTTCAAAAGCATAGAATGCCCAGAATTGAATATTTAATTGAATATTTAAGGGCTCCTGTCTTTTCACTGTTGCACTTTTTTTTTTCTTTTTCTATCACTCACACCTCTCCCCCCAGCCCCGGCACCACTCCTGACATTTCCATAACATAACATAAAACCCAATAAGTATTTGCTAAGTGATTTGGAGAAATAAACATATAAAAGCTGGTAATTTGTTTTATTTGTTTTTAGGTTTACCAAAGTAGGTTAAATAACACAATATTATATAGTGGTGGAAAACAAGAGATTTTTTATTATTGTTATTTTATTTTACGGGCAGCCTGACATAGTGGGCATAGAAAAGATAAAGAAGGTTTTGAAGATATTCTTGCTTTTTTCCCACTTATTTGAACTCACTTAAAAAGTTTTTACTAGGTGCGCAAATGCTAAGAGTTTTTAACCATGAGTCAAGGTCAAAGGCACATTTGCACTTCTGAGACAGGTCTGCAGGCAAATGTGTATGTCTTGATGCTCTGTCAAGAGCCTATAATCATCTCTGAGAACAGCATTGGAAGCGTTTACATTTGAATAATATATCTTGAGTTCAAAAGCAGTCAGAGGGATGCACCCCGCAAAAAGGATGCACCTCAATTGATAAAGGAATGAATTGACTGTAATCTCTTCCTCACCTTAGTAGCCTACTGTGATTGGAGCATTTAGGCAGCAGTGCGGGGTCATGTCTGCCCCTGGATTTCTGTCTTTTATTCAATATTTGTTTAATGTAATAGCTACAAACAACTGACAAAAACAGAATCCCAGATTCTCTCATATCATCCAGCATTCCCGATTTTCTTTCCTGTTCCCTGAATCTTGCCTTTCTACACAAAAATCACACTTCAGCAGAGGAATGGTGGGAGTTTTGATTCATGGAATCATTACGGTTGGAAAAGACCTTCAAGATCATCCAGCCCCACAGATTCAGCGTATCCTAACGCGGGACGGATGCTCCCGCTGGGAGGGCAGTGTTTGCTGGGATGCTCTTGGGCAGAGGGGGCGCTGCAGCCCGTGCCCCACGGAGCGGGGGGCTCTAACCCCCGGCGGGGACACTGCTCGTCTGCTCCGCGACAGGCCTGCCCTTCGTGCAGCAGACGTGTCCACCTGCTGCACCTGATCCCGAGGGAATTCACGTGTTTTCCTGCGTGGTTTCTGGATCGTAGTACAGTTTAGATATGGTGATAATGGACATTTGCAAAACTGTTCCTGTAAATGCTGGTGAGGTATAGAAATCAGAGGCCAGTGCCAAATTAGTTTTAGGTGTTTTCAGGAGTAAGAGCTGGAAAAGAATTTAGGCTCACTAGGAGGTTTTATTTCAGCTATAGACATGTTGATATCCAAGAACAGAGGGCAAAATATCATCACAATTTTCAAAATATAATAATATGTAGCAACAATTCTGTAACATAACAGCAATTCAAAAAGTTATGGATTGCAACGGGACAGCTTTATCTTTCAAGCCAAGTTACTTTCCTCTGGAAAACAAAGTGTCATCTTTAAAGGAGCTGATAAAATTAGCACCTTTATATCAGAGTATTTCTCAACCGATGGAATGTACCCTATCTTTTTAATTAACAGTAACTATTGCAGGACTTGACGGTTAGTAGAAGCTTTGGAGTGTAATACCTATGTGACAGGATTTTCCCATCATTATGAGAATGACAAATACCACTTCATATCACCATAATAAATGTGTTAACTCATTACAGACTGATAAGCAACTGGTAGTATCCTATTTCCATTAGCAGAATGGACATATTTCATTAAGCAAACGTATTTATTGCAGATTGTGTCTTTTGAATTTAAGTAATATGTCTGATTTTTATTAACAATTTAATAACCTAGCTCTGGTTAAAAATGTGTTTTTCTTATCTGGTACTGATAATTTTGTTTCACATTTCAGTGAATGCGTCCGTTTGAAAGCAACTGACATACAGCCAGATATCTTCAGTTATCTCTTGCATTTGATGTACACTGGGAAGATGGCCCCGCAACTCATTGACCCAGTTCGACTAGAACAGGGAATAAAGTTTCTGCATGCATATCCACTAATTCAAGAGGCCAGCCTCGCAAGTCAGGGAACTTTTTCCCACCCGGATCAAGTTTTTCCATTAGCATCCTCATTATATGGCATTCAGATTGCAGATCACCAGATAAGACATCCCAGTAAGGTTACATCAGCATCTGACAAACTCGGGCGGGAACCAAGGCCCCAGACCTCACGGATGAACCCGGAGCAGGTTTCCGAGGGCTCGCAGCTGGCTACGACGCTGCCACAAGTGACCCGGACAAACATGACCGCGTCCGACCCGTTGCCATCATCTTTATCTCCAGAGCTGGTGTCTGCCGCTGGCAATAACTCGCCCACGGGAGAGGAGGCCAACATGGAAGCGTCTTCCTCGGACGAGCAGCCCTCGCTCACAATAGCGCACGTCAAGCCAAGCATCATGAAAAGGAACGGAAGCTTCCCAAAACCTGCGCAGCAGCTTGCGCGAGCACCTCCAGATCCACACCGGGGTTCCCTTCACCTCCTCCCAGCAGGGGGAAAGCAACATTTCTCTGTCTCTCTGCAACAACACAGCCGATAAAGACGCCATGGAAGTGCCTGAAGCCGGAATGATCAGCGACAGCGAGCTGCAGCAGATCTCGGACTCGCCGATCATCGACGGGCAGCAGCAGTCGGAGACGCCGCCCCCCTCAGACATTGCCGACATAGACAACCTGGAGCAGGCCGACCAGGAGAGGGAAGTGAAACGGCGGAAATACGAATGTTCCATTTGCGGCCGCAAATTTATTCAGAAAAGCCACTGGAGGGAGCACATGTACATCCACACCGGCAAACCTTTCAAGTGCAGCACTTGCGACAAAAGCTTCTGTAGGGCGAACCAGGCTGCCAGGCACGTGTGCCTAAACCAGAGCATGGACACGTACACGATGGTGGACAAACAGACGCTGGAGCTCTGCACCTTTGAGGAAGGCAGCCAAATGGACAACATGCTGGTGCCGACCAACAAGCCCTACAAATGTAACTTGTGTGACAAAACGTTCTCCACTCCCAATGAAGTAGTTAAACATTCGTGCCAAAATCAGAACTCTGTTTTTACTCTAGAGGAAGATCGCTCCATTCTACTAGGTAGCGGGGACACGGAAGCCACAGAGACTGAGAATTCAGTGTTAGCCTCCATCAAAAAGGAGCAGGAAGCAGTGTTGTTAGACTGAATGTGAAGCCTATATCAATTTTTAAAGTTTCTTTATTCGTTTTTATTAAACCGATTTCTCCCTCCCCTCTATTACCTCACTTTCCTCCTGCCATCTTTTCCACCATTCTCCTGACCACCCTTTGTCTTCAGCAACCAGAACTGTACTGGCACATTAGGAAATTGGACTTTGCCTCTCCCACCAAAACAAACAAAAAGCTCTTGCATCACACAACATAATTGATTTTAATACAAAGGAACGCATGAAAAATAACTCAGCAAACTATGTTGATAGTATTAGTTAATCTAAATTTAATAGATTTTAAACAAAGTTTAGGTTACTTAAAAGCATATTTAGATACAATGATGAGTGTAATGAGAAATGGAATATGAGTTCGGTAAGCACAGAATAGATATATATATGTTTCCCCGGTAAAAGGCATTTTGAGAAGATCTGGCAAATCAAACTCCATGTGCATGTTAATTATTATAACTTAAAAAAAAAACTCTCTCTTTTTTTTTTTTCCTCAATGAATCCAAGAAACTATTCATTGAGTAAAAAAGAGCTGAGGGTTTGGGGATTTGAGGGTTTTTTTTTTTTTGCCTTATGTTGTCCTTTAAATATGCCTTCGGGTATCTGTTTCAGGTAGCATCATTGATTCAAGCAAAGTAGTTACTTGGTCAGATTTTGACTCAAGAATCTGTAATAATAATGTGATGGCAATCTTTATATATATATATGTATATATATATATAAAATACTGTATATGCATAAAGAGATATATATATATATATACACATATATATATATAGAAAGTGTTTGTGTGTATATTTGGTACAGGTAAATAAATGCACACATCCTTTTGAAGCAACTGGCCATCTGCTTTCAGAGTCAGCCCCCAAAGTCTTTTAGGTGTTTGACAGAACTAGTCACTGCACGGATTATTTTTAAGCAAATTTAAGATGTCCTGAACTGTGTGTGTTTTCGTTGGCCTGTTGAAAGGAAGCGGATACGTGAGTGGTCACTCAGGATAGCCGGGGAACTAGAGAGGTGACGCCCCGATGAGCCCTGCGACACTGACACGCGCGAGGCGTTAGCTTTGTTAGCTGGGTGAGAGGAGAAACCCTTGCCTTAGGCAGGGAATGCCCAGGATCTCCCTGGAGCTAATTGCGTGAGCTCAGGTGAAGAGGAAGGAGGACAGAGTGACCTGCTGGCAGCAGGGGATCATGGTTGTTTGGCAGTGAATCTGCAGTCCTGAAGTGGCAAATCTTGCTCTTTGAGAGCCCCGTTGTTTTCAAAGCCAAGACAAAGTCTGCAAAAACTGAAAGGATGAATTCTGTAGTTTTAGTTACCGCTGATGATAGCACTGCATCTTTGTGTTTAAAATCAAGTTGTTGATTCTTATTATTTTCTATAAATGCCTGGAATTTTTGCAAATAGCCTAAAACCCTAAACTGACAGCAGCAGTGAAGCCCCCTGAGCAGTTCCCGGGCCCATGGAAGCTGAAGCAGCCAGAACAAGAGCCCCGTCCGAAACAGAGACCACGTGTTCGGGGGGAAGGGGTGGGAGAGGGCAAGTCACAAACCACAGCTCGGCTCTGTGTATACGTTTAAACTGAATATCATCTTTTTGTGTATAGTTAAGTTCTCAGATTTGTAAGTTTTTATACATCATTTCATTGAATAAAAACTGAATTAAATGGGATGTTATTTATTGAGTTGAAGATGAAAGGTTGTTGGATTTTGATCCTTCTAAAGGAACCGTGACTGTGACTGATCAGTTTAAAAGCCAAGCAACATGTTCAGTACATCAGAGTAAAACTTCCTTCTTATATGAACCAATAGCTTTCCAAAGCCTAAAGTGATGTTGTAAGCACAAAGGATCACTACATATTTCTCAAGGTTATTGTAAGATAATAATTATTGTAAAGTTTGCTATAAACGCTTTTGAGTTGATTATCTGTATTGTATTAGAGTAACAGATTTAAAATCAATTGATTTTACTTCAAAGTTTTTTAAAAAAGCTTATTGAATCATTTTAGGGATGCCCATTTTAAACCTTTTTTAAGAGTTTTTATCTACCCAAGGAATTTCTCTAATCATGTTCTTATGTAATCTCACCAAGTTTGAAATGCAGTCGGAGCAGGGAAGGGAGAATCACTCCTTGCTTGGGTAAGGGCAGGTTTTGAAGTTGCTGTCCTGTAGGGGATAGACCTAAGTTCATCTCTAAAATGAAGGTCCCACTGGGCAGGCCCCTCCTCTGGTGGGTGCTGTGTAGGGCAGGAAACGAGATTCACTCTTAAGAAATAACTTTGTCTGGAAAAGAAATAATTTCACAATTACGAGATTATTTTGATATGTGCTCAACTATTATAATTGTTTGTTTCAAATACATGTTATTTTCTCCGTAGTGATATTTAAGTCATTGTCTCTCACTGCTTGGGAAGTTTTGTTCTGGACGAATTAGGAACATTCCAGTAGGCAGGTGACTTTTGGTGAAAAAAAAATATATAGTTTTCAGGATGTTACAGCTTCATCAAGAATTTGAGTACTATATCCTTATAGCACAACTATGGCTTTATTCGAGCTTCTTTTTTAATCCCATCTGAATTATTATGACCGTTAGAGAAAAGTTCTTGTTTTATCTATAAATTTCTAACCCCGAATGTTATGACTGAATTAGTCCTTCAATCTGTTCTCCTGGTGAAGCTGAGACTATTCTGTAAAACTGTTAAAAAGGCAGATATGCAGGAACTGTTGAATAATCATAGTGAAACAAGCCGTCATTCGAGTCTGAAACTTATCCCCAGAATGTTTCCAAAAGAAATGCTTTAACTTTGAAGAGTTCATTTCCCTGACATATAACATAGTGAGATGCCTCTGCCCTGGCCTCAGAAGCACTTGGCACCTACAAACCCAGGTGTGTTTGGTCAGTGGCAGGTAAACAACCGCAGCTGGTCGGGTGTCCTCCAGCATCCTGATCCCTAGGCTGCTTGACAGCCCCATGTCACCTTTTTAGGCACTCTGCCTATTTGCAATGTCTTTTAGTTCTCTTCAACACCAGCTATTGAAAACTAACGTTGTCCATTCAGCTAAGTTATATATATGTGATTGCTTTTACACAACTCTCTTCAACTAAAGAGGAACACACTTTGAAGTAAAAGGGAGTTTGGTCATCTACTCTGCTATTTTGTTATTTATTGCCTCATGAAAGGCAACAATGTTTCCATTGAGCAAGATACTATATAGCTGTAAATGATTAGGGGGTTTTAGGCTACCTAAAAGTAACAGCTAACTGCTACTTACATTCCAGCTACCTGTGGTGATAAAGACAATCTGCTTTATTTATTTATTTATTTATATTTTAAAAGTTGTCCTAGGCTTGGGCAGAGTGTTTCTATTGTAGTTTTATTTATTTATTTATTATTGTAAATATGCCTGTTGTCTCTGGATCACGGAATCCCGGTCATACCAAGACCAAGGCAGAAAAGAGTCTTTTGCAACTTGCCTCATTATTGTATTTGTTTTTTCCCAGGTGATCTATGATCATTTCTAGAAGTGAGAGGAACTTACTGTCCTTAAATAGGGCTTTCTGTCAAGTCTACTAGTAAAAATAAATTAAAAAGAACTGAGCCCAAATCACCAAACTCCTTTCCTTGGCAGTTTAGACTTGCTGCCATGCAAGGTGAAATATATATATATATATAACGACATGAAGGTGTATATTATTTGTGAGCCAATAGGCAGATGCTTTTGCAGTTACACATTCTGGTGGGTTTATATTCACATCCAGTATTTTGCTTTGCTCTGGAGTAAGCATCTCTTTTACATCCTAGAAGTTTTGCATCTTCCATCTGAAGCAGAAATACATATTCTCTAATATTTCTCCAGCGCACTTCGTTTATCAGTGCAGAGGTCAGAGCCACAGCCGTGACTCCTTCCCGTTTATGCTGGGGAACTTCTGTGTTTGTAACATATGTTTCTGACAGTCTTACAGTCTTGATGGAATCAACCTGCAGCTCTCAAGTGCTGTAGAGGAGGATAGCTCAGTTCTTGCTTGCAGGTTGCTTGTGGTCCATAAGGTCTGTAAGTGTTTGCAAACTTCTCACAAGCAAAAACTAAAGCATTTGCATGTGCTTACACAGGTAGTACAGAGGAATCAATCCCAGAGCGATTGTAGCCAGGACCCCATTCTGGGCTGCGTGAACAGCCAGGAAAGCACATTAGCCTGTTTGTAAAGACAGCTATGAAATAGAATGATCAGGAGAAAATTTGTATAATCGTGGAAGCTCAACAGTTGAGGAGCATTCCTAAAAGCTCTCTGGAAGGGCAAGTCACAGGATAGAGTGGTGTAAGTCTTAGTAAATGTGACTCGTCATTTCCAAAGAGGGCAGGACAGCTATGGCATGAAGAATATGAAATCCCACATGCAATGATTATTAAGATTATTAAATAGTATATTATGTTTTGCTGTTGTCAGGATAGTCAGATAAATCTTATCTGATTTGGGATTGCAGCAGTCAGTGCAAGCCGCTCTTTCCATGGCCGCGAGCTGCTGCCCCGTCCTCCTCAGCACCTCAGTGACCACCCTTGAGCAATGGACAGCCCTGGGCAAAGGACATGGATGACACCCCTGATGCCAAGGAGAATCTGGATCACCTTGACATGGCTCAAGAGTGGTAAGAATAATCCAGGGAAAATTCTACCACAGGGGTGGCCCGTAAGGACAAAGCAAGCTCAAGTGTAGGTTGTCTGTTGGTAATTGCTTAGTGTTGTCCACCAGTGTCCATCATACATGCAGACCTGCTTAGCTCTATTCAGTTCTTATGCCTGACAAATGATGATCTCCTGAGTTCAGCGCAACTAAGCCAAGAATCCGAAAGCATCCCGGACACCCCTCTAGCGGCACATTGCAAGGAGGCCAGGCAGGTTGCAGAGGCAAAAAATGTAGTACCCTTGGTGCGTGGAAACACTCTCTTCTCTCCCCAGGTAAATGAAGAGGTAGGGGACTTTCATTCCGCACAGGCCGTATTTCAGGTTTGCCTTTAAAGTTCTTGGCCCAGAATTGTCAATCGCCTTAAAGGCTGTAACAGGACATGGAAATAGTAAGGGTGACTGGCTGCGGGCCACGGCGCGGGAGGGAGGGAGCCGCAGGGAGAGGACAGGGAGGGAGAGAGGGAGCTGCCC